ATCAGCACATAGTAGGTGTTCAGAAATGCTGATCCCTTCTCCTTTACTGCCTGTGTGGTTCCAGCCGGCCCGTGGTAACCGTGACTGTGTCACACACGCCCCCCACCAACACTCCCCACACCCAACACAACCTCTTTTTGGGATATTGAATAATCTGGCTCCAAATGGCTCCCCACTGGGTCCTAAGGCCCCTGTTCCCCTCATTCGTTTGTTTATTGAGCATGTATTTATTGAGGGCCTGCTAGATGCCTGACTCGGCTCTGGGGAGCCAGAGATCCAGGCATAAAGCTCGGTGTGGGTGAAGGCACGGAGCCCCAGAGCCGAGAACCCCAGCGCTCATTTCCTCAACCTCTGTTCTAGCAGCATCTGCTCTGCCGCAGGCCCTGTCCTGGGCCGTGGGCCACAGCTGGAGGTGGGGTTGGTAGGAGGGCGGAGAACCTGCCCAGTCCTCCAGGATTTGCTAATTAATTAGGAAATCTGAGCCCCGTGCCCAGTGATACTGTTTGAACTTGCCACCTAGACTGGGAGCAGCTGAGAAGGAGGGCAACCCCCACCAGCACCCTCCTAATTGCTGCTTTACCTCCTTCGGGGCTTCGCTGTTGTATCAAAGGTCTGCCAGGGCCCCTGCAGCTCAGGGCTGGGGGAAGATAGCGGGCTGAGAGCCCACTTCCCAGCTGCGACAACTGAGGTCGGAGATCAAGGCTCTGCTTGGGGCGGGGATGAAAGCGGGGCTGGCATCATAGAGCTGCTCATGCCATGACAACCAGAGGCTAGGGTGTTGTTGGAACCAGAGTGTGGCTTGTCCTGGTCCGGTGCGGGAGACTCAGGCCCTATCCTCAGAAGTCTGGAGTACGGAGGCCAGGGACAGGCTCTTCTGGGGGCCCCTTCTCTCCACCTCACCTGGCAGACTCCCACTTGACCTGTGTTTCAGCTTGGGTGGCTTCTCCTCTTCCAGGAAGCCCACCTTAACCTTTCAGGCTAGATCAGGTGTCCCCTTCTGGTTCCCATACCCCCGACTCCCCTCCCTCTTAGCCTCCCTTGACCCTCTTAGCTCCTGCTGTAGGCCCGCTCCTGTCTGCGGCTGAGAACGCTCTGAGGGAAGAGAGGGGCCGAATTCATCTTTGTGGCTCCGGTGCCCAGCGCCCACCAAGGGAAAGGGGGAAGCAGCAAACCTATCTCCATCCTCTCCTCCCTCTGCCCCAGTCTGAGTGCCCGGGGCATGGGGCACTGAGGTGTTTGGAGACCCTGGGCTGGTTATGTGGCCTCAGTTTCCCCAGAACCAGTGCTTTCAGATTGTATCTAGGGAGTTTCCCAATGTGGCAGAGGTAGCGACAATGTCCTGTGTTGGCAGTTGAGAGTGACAGAGAAGCATTTTTTTTTTTAAGTCATCTCTACACCCAACGCGGGGCTCGAACTCACAACCCTGAAATCAGGAGTGGCAGGCTTCACCAACTGCACCAGCCAAGTGCCCCCAGAAAAGCATTTTATTAGGGGCTCTGCGGCATGGGCCTGATTCCTGCAACAGCCATGCATGTGCCGGGTGACTCTGGCAAGTTACATGACTTCCCTGTGCCTCAGTATTCAAATCTATAAAATGGGATAACAGTGGAACCCACACCTCAAAGGGTCTTTGTGACTATTAAACAAGTAGACACGAGCAAAGCACTGAGATTAGCAGTTGGTACCAGTAAATCCCATGTAAGTGTTTGCTGATACCTGATCTGGAATTCAAGCAACATATCCCTTCTTCCCGGACTCTGTTTTCACTGATGGTGTCAGCTTGTAGTGTTACGGTAGTGTTTGCTGGGTTTCTGCACTGTAAAATTTGTTACCCCTCTTTTTTTTTTTTAACCCTTTCTGCAGTTCCTCTCTTTGGAAGGGTGTCCCCAGGTCCAGTTCACATTCCAAGCCTGGATCTGGAGGTGAGAATCTGCATGAATTATGCGGAGCTCTTCTCCGAGGGAAGTGTGTCCGGTGTCCCCTAATTTGTTTATTTCTTCCACCACTATTTCTATCAGTTTGGACTCGTGGGTATGTATCTGGGCTACAGTTTATTTCTGTGTTATTTGTCCTGTTCACCCAGCTCCAGATTTGGCCATGGGGAACTTCTTTGAGGCCAGCTCCTGGGTCTGACATCCCCCCATTTATTTATTTGTTTTGAGCATTTCCTTACCTTCTATTCCTACAGGATGCTCCAGATTCATCCTGTACGTTCCCTGCCTCAGCCCTGGAATCAGCCACTTCTCTAAGGAGTCCCGGGTTCTTTCATTAGAGAGTGGTGCTTAGGAGCCAAGATCTGGGAGCCAGATGTGTTTATTACTATGGGGGTGTCGCTGCCTCTAGGCCCTCTAGAGGGCAGAGCTGGGTTTATTTTAATTAAAAAAAAAAAAAAAGAAAGAAATAAAATGTCCCCTCTAGCCCATCATGGGGTCTGTTGGAGGCTCCAGACAGCTGTCCACTGGCCTTTGAGCACAGATCCCAGTCTGCAGCTCAGAGGTCAGCGTCCTCGGAGGGCTTCATATCCATCAGGGCAATGAGGGAGGGAGCCCATGAGACCATCTCCTATCCAGGCTCAGCCACTTCCCTGTGTCCACCTCTGCTCACCAGTGGGGACATCGGTAGCTGAGTTGCTTTGGGAATGGGGCTTGGGCCCCTCGAGTGCCCGGATTGCTGTGGGATTGCAGGCTTGCTCCCTGTCGGTGGTGATGGGCAAGAGCCACAGCCCAGTAACAGAGCCAGGGTGGCCAACCAGGCAGGCCCAGCAAGGGTCAGGTCCCAGGAAAGCCTGACTCAGCCACTGTGCCTACCACGCCTAGGCAGCCCAGCGCTAACGGAGGAAGGCCTGGCAAGCTGGTCCCCTGCTCTCTCTCCCTTCCCAACCCCAGCCCCACCCAATGCTGCATGGCTCCCTGATGCTCAGGGGGTCAGACCCAGACCTGGCTCCCCATGGAGGCCACTTTCCTGCAGTGGCAGGGGGTCAGGCTTGAGATCCCAAGGCAAACCGACGATTCTCACAACTTTGCCGCCCCAAGGCTCCAGGCTGAGTCGGGAAGCGGGGGTTGTGGGCCTGCCCCTACCAGTGCCTTCTGTTTGGGGTACAGTCATCATGGCTTGCCCTGCTGAAAAACCTTCAGTGGCTCCCCACTGCCCTCAACTTAAAATCGCTACTCCTGGACCTGCCTGACAAGGCCCTGGAGAGCACTTTGGCCCCCCACATCACACTCGAACAACAGCGAAGTGTTTGGGGTTCCCCCTCACACAACCGCCTGGCTTCAACACTCCAGTTTCCTCTGCCTGCACTGTCCTCTCCTGCTGCTTCCCTGGTTAATTCCCACTTGTCCCTACAATCCCTACTTGGCTCAGCTCAGGGGCCACCTCCATCAGGAAGCCTTCCTTCTCTGCCCCAGATTGTCTCTGCCCACCTGGTCCATGTCCCTGGTCACCTGTGGATGACACCGTCCTAACGTCACTGTGAATGACCTCTGGCATGCGGGGCTGCAGCATGGGATCACGGAGAAGGCTCAGGGTTTGAAATAAGGACTCTTATTTTCTCTCAAGCCCTCCGCTCCTTCCTGCTATGTGACTTAGGCAAGTCACTGCCCACTCTGAGCCTCAAACTCCTCATCTGTGAGAAAGCATCTAACTGGGATTCCCGGCCCTGCTTTCAATTCCAGCCTCTACCTCTAACTTGCTGTGTGGCCTTAGGCAAGCCCTGTCCCTGGGCCCAGTCTCAGTTTTCCTTTTCTGTGAAATGGGGCTGCTCACAAAAACTCAAAGAGTACTGAGGTTCCAACAAGCCAAAACTTGTGAGAAGCCTTTATAAACCTCAGAGCCCTACACGGATGGTCGAAGAATCTATTTCAACAAGCCCCGCAGAGACGTGTGGGAGGGAGCTGGTGGCTGTTCTCACCGTTCTCCTGCCTCCCAGCCCTCCTCAAGTCTAGAGATCAAAGGTGACAGAGGCCTGTTGGCATGGAGGCCAGGCTCCGCAGGGCCTGCTCCCTGGCCCCCTGCCCACCTCCCACCCACCCCCCACTCCCACGGTTCCACGATGTGTATGCCTTCGGCGAGAAGGTCCATTTAAGGGCTCAGGGTGCACTCCCCACCCCCCACTTCCAACCCACAGGGCCTCTCTCCGGGCCCATTGCTCCCCCAGAGACTCAAAACCAAGATGAGTTTGAATCATCTGCAACTTTATTCCAGAGCAGAAATAAGTCATTTCCTAGCAATAAATATAAAAAAAATAATAATAAATTAAGTTTCGAAAAAAATACCAAACAAAAACAAAATCAGTAACACTGACAGACTAGTGACTGTCTAAAGGGGAGGGAGACCGGATGGACCCGCCCCCAGCCTGGGAATGTGTTGACAACAGGCCACCGTCTGCCCCCCAGCCCTGGCCGGGCCCCCTGCCACACACACACATACTTCCCACAAAGTACAAAATAGATATTTTTAAAAAAACCTCAACACAACCAAGCATCCTGCGAGGGCCTCGGGGGAGCAAGATTTGGCCTGCTGGAGCTGAGGACAGGGCCTGGGGGGCTGAGGAAGGCACCAGAGAGACCGGGGAGCCACTTTGGGTCTTGCCCAGCTGAGTTTGCAGGCTGTCCTCTTCTCCTTTGGCGGTGGGGCTGGAGGTACCCTGTTCACATAGCCACAGGCCAACCCTTCCACCTCCCGAGACAGCAAAAGGGAGGTCCATTTGGAAATGTCCTGTGTTGTTTGTCCAAATGCTTTGGTGGGGCTCCTGCCCCAGGGGATGCCGGGAACATGGCAGTGCCTGCTAAGTGCTTGGCAGTCTGTCCTTTGTAGACGAAGAGGCCCCCAGCTTGGGGTCCCTGAGCATCTCCCCAGTTTAGGCCTAGCTGTTGTCCAAGACCCCCCCACTCCCCGTGCCATCAATAAGAAATAGCTAGAAATAAATAAGGTCCCTGGTGGCCCAGCACAGAGCTGGCAGGAAGGCCACTCCGTTTCTTCAAGTATTCTTAGCCAAGGGGGTTCGTGGCCTGCCGGGGCTCAGATGGGGATCCCCACTGTGTTCACCTGGTCCTTGAGTCCCAGCAGGCTGTAGGCGATGCGTTTCTGGTGGCCGGGCAGCCGCACCCCAATCTTCTTGATGTCGCTGTCGGGGAGGGAGAGAGGGAGTTAGGGGCTGGCTGGGGAGAGGTGGGGGGGGGTTGGGAGAGTGGGCAGAGGCTCGACGCCAGGATCCACACCCTGAAGGCTTGCTAACATCGACAAAGTTCGGAAAGTGACAAAAGCACCCACTCTCTGAGAAGTTCTCCCCCCGCCCCATGCAATCTGCACCACTATCTGTGAAGCAGGTGCTCTTTTCACGCCATTTTCGCAGAGCTGAACACTGGAGGCTCAGAGAGGTAAAGTGACTTGTCCAAAGTCACACAGCCAGGAGGTGGAGGAGCTAGAAATGGAAGGAGCTGTGAACGGATGCCTTCTCTCCCCCAGCCTGGGTCTGTCCTCACTGTCCCCAGCTAAGGCCTCCTCCCCAGGGCAGCACGGACGCCATCACCAGGTGCAGGGGAGCGGAGGCAGGGACCCTCTAGGGCTGCTGCTCACAGCTCTTCCCAGCCCCCGCTTTAGTCCACTCCTATTCCCTCTGAGTGCCTACTGCTGACAACCGAGGAAGAACTCAGGAAACACTCTGCATAGGGACCTCAAGGGTTAAAGTTCTGTTTGCAGGCTGTTAAGGACAGGAGCTTGCAGCCCCCAATCAGGTGACCAGGTCACCCGAGACAGGTGTTCTCCCTTTAGGATCCTCATTTCCTCACCTGTGAAATGGGATGAGGACCCAACTGGAGGGCGGGAGACCCCCCAGAAACAGGTGGCAGAGGGGGACGGCGGCCTCAGTGCCGGATGGGGAGATGTGCCCAGGAGCCCACAGCCCTCTCCTGCCCCCCTCTCTGTGCCCCGCCCTGTCCCCTTGTAAAACCACTTATGCTCCCAGGAGCCCTGGAGCAGGACGTTTACTGCTCACTCTGGGACTTTTCTCCTCCACCACCCTCACCCACCAGCCCAAACCCATGAAAACACCCAGGTTTTTATGGGCCGTCTCCTGGCTATAAATGAGACTAATTATACGGTAGGAGCTCCTGTTTGCAATTCCGGAGACATGACTTTCCCACAGGCTCTGGGAGCCCTCAGAGAGCTGCTGGGCAGGGAAGGGCAGCCCCAGGTGCGTGGGGAGGGTGGCTGAGGGACCCCCAGGAGGGGCTGGCTGCCCCCGCGGCAGCAGGAAGGCCCGACGTCAGACACCAGGGAGAACTTCCTAACCCACCCCTGCGAGGCATTCTAACCGAGACAGCTGGCCCTTCTGAAAAAGCAGCGCTGTTTCCCCCACACCTGCAGGTCTCCAAGTGAGGCTCCCAGGGAAACACTCGGATCCCTGGGGAAGGAGGCACTTCCCGAAAAGGCAGGATCCTGGACCCTAGTCCGGACTCACTGACCTTGAATTTCTGAAGGTGGGGCAGGGAGTCTGCATCTTATTGGGTCCCAAAGACCCTGATGTCTGATTTAAGAACCAATGGGTTAAGTGAATGCCAGGAGGGTAACAGCAGAGACCTAGTCCCCTGGGCTCCAGGATAGGCCTGGCACACAGTAGGTCCTCAGGATGTATCTGCTGAATGACTGATGGCTGCTTTAGTGAACGTGGGGCCACCGCCCAGGCCGCCTTGGGCCCTTCCTCCATACTGGTGTAGTCAACCCCATCGGGGTGGGAGCCAAGACAGCTCCTGAGGCCCATCGAGGAAGCAAAACCCCTGGGCTGGGAGGCAAGAAGCCCATTCTAGTCCTGGACTTCATCAAAGCCTCGGGCAGCTCCTGTCCTGTTACTCGGCCTCAGTTTCTGCATATCTAAAATGGGAAGCTTTGCTCAGATGCTCCTGGGCCACGTACCCCAGCTCCAGTCTTTTTCACACACGAGAGACCCTGACACCTTCCATGCCACACCTGCTTACCACAGAGGCACACAAGATGAGTCACGGACTGTCCCAAGACTGTTCCTGCCCCAGCCTCAGTTTCCCTCTTACCACTCCCAGACACACGACCGAGGCTACGTTTTTCCTGAGCATCCTCAATGCCCGCCCTGGTTCTGGGAAATTCAAAGGAGCACCTGCTGTGTACTGGCCCTGGGCACAAGCAGTGAGAGAGGGCTCCGAGAGCCTCCCACATCAATGATTCATTCCCTTGGCAAACAGGGCATGAGGACCAAGTCTATGCTGAGGGCACTCGGCGACCATAAGCCCCATTGGCCTGGGCTCCCCTCCCAGGAAGCTGTGTTGCATCCCCCCAGACACTGGACGGGGCCTCTTGCTGGACCGGGCATTTTTCTGGGCTACAATATCTACCATTTCCTTAGCTCCCCCAAAGACACGCAGAACCACCAGTCTAGCTAGAAACTGTAGCAATTCCAAAGTAACATGGTGAATGCTCAATCCGAGAAAAGGTAGCAAGCAGCCGGCCCCTGGGGAGGGACGGGAGCGGGGGACGGGGGGAAGCACTGAAGCCTAAACCTTGATCTGACCCCATCGGCGAAAGTGCCAAGTTCTGAGACCAACTCCTTGCCTCCCACTGGGACTCCCGGCATGTGTAGACACAGCCTTCGGGGGGTAAAAAAAAAAAAAAAGTGCTCTAAGATTCCCCATTCATTTCACTTATTTGAAATAAAGAAGGAGGCAGTGGTGGTGAGTCACACAGGCCCCAGCTCCGAGCGCCACTGAGCTCCGAGCTGGTAGGAGGTGGAGGGAGTGTGGAATGACTTCCTGCCTTTATTCAGGCCTTTCAAAACACAGTGCACATGCACACACACACAGCCTCCATCCATCCAAGACAGCCCTGTCCCTGCTCGTGGGAAAGGAATTGGCCGAGGAGCACCCCGGGCTATTTCGGGAAGCTTCTAAGAACATGTGTTTCCTGTAAGCCCTTCTCCTGGCCCTCTGCTCTGCTCACCCACAAGAGTAGCTGTGCTGTCCCCAGTGGGAGCCCCTGGAGGGGCCAATGGGCTGTTCCAGGTTCCCAGGCAAAAGGATTGGGGTGCAGGAACCCTGGCCTTTGCCCACAGGCTGCGGGCTGAGAGCAAGGGGGTCGAGGAGAGAAGGAGAGTGACATGGGTTAAGCCCCTACTGTGTACCAGGCATGTTCCCTGCACTCACCTATCCACTCTGCACAGCAGGGAACCAGGGACCAAGGCCCAAAGATGGAACCTAATCTGATCATGGTCTCCTGCTAGGACATGGCAGACGTGGGGCTTGAAGCTAAGCACAACTGCAGAGCTCGAGCCTGGGACCCTGCTGCTGGCTGGAGACAGAAGATATCCTGGGATCCATCTCCCTCTGGCTCACTCTGTCCCTGTCTGACTCCCTGTCCCCTGGGAGGAGACACAGCCCAGTCTAAGAAGCTCTGACCGGCAATCACCAGCCAGCTGAGGGGTCTTCAGGGGCCCTGGAGAATGTTCCTGCTCTCAGGCCCAGATCCCAGAACTTCTGTAACCCAGAACTGTGGGAGGCCCGGGTGGACCCTTCCATGTGATTCCCAAAACCTCCCAGCCCCAGGGCCCATTCTGGCCCTGACCTTGGACCCTAAACAAGCTGGGCTTTTGGGACTTGACACTATTTTTAGAGGCACAAAAGGCTAAGGGGATTGTGTCTTCTCCCACCAGGGATGGGAAGAGGTGTCCTCGCCAAGGCCATGCCGGGAAAGGTCCCTGACGCTGGAGGGGAGAGCAGGGCTCCCACAGGGCAGCCTGACAACCATGTGGGGAGAGATCCCCGGGAGGGGAGGGGCTATGGCACTCTCTCCTAGGCAACAGCCAGGAAGTCCAAGGGCTCTGCCCACTTCTCTTCAGCATCCCGGAGAGGCATGCAGCCCCTAAACGGCTGTGTGACTTTAGGCAGGTAACATACTCTCTGGGCCTCAGTTTCTCCACTAATGACCTCTGTGGTCCCTGATCTCTGGGCCCTCACTGACCAGCTCTGGAACCCTACTGGGCCCCTAGTGACCGTGGGACCCTGAGCAAGTCACTGCACTTCTCCATCCCATCCCCTGGTGGGGAGATGGACGAGCCCCAACGGCCAAGTTACCCCGAGGCCTGATTCACAGTGCTGGGGCACACAGCTGGCACAGTCAGCCCACGATCAACTCTGCTCTGATTCTGACAGTGACTATTATTTTCCCATTCTGGAAAAAAGGTCCAGGAACAGCAGGGAGCCAGGCTGGAGTGCCCAGAATTCCTGGCGGCTGGTCTAGCTCTGCCCTTCCTGGGAAACCCGTCTGCCCCCCAACGGGAAAGGAGAGCGAAGGGGGAAGAGGGGCGTGGTGGGCAGGTGGGGAGAAGGCGGGGCCGGACTCACTCGTTGGTCATCTGCACCACCTTCTCGATGGCCGTGTAGCCCGCCGCCAGGAAGTGCTCTGTGTACTGTTGCATCCTGATGGACTCGAGCCACTCGGACACCGTGCGGAAGGGCACCCCCTCGGAGCCGCTGGTGCTGGGAAGCCGGATGGACACCCTGCAACGGGGGTCATCACTTGCAGGTAAGCGGTGGCGGCATGGGGCCCCCCATGCCGCTCCCTAACCTGGGCGATTCTCCCAACTGCCCTGGGCCTCAGTTTCCTTATCTGGACAACAGAGAAGCCCGGTCGGGTAGGGTTCAGGGCACTGGGCTGGCGTGCTGTAAGCACTGGGTGTTTACAGCTCCTACAGGGCCCCTCCCCAACCCCCTGCCAACACCAACACCAATAACCACAAAATAACAAAATGTTCAGATTCAGGTTCCTGGAGGCACAGCCCCAGCCTGGCCAGCTGCCAGCATGTAAAATACTTAATCGTCCCGTCTCAGCTTCCTCATCAACAAAAGGCAGGTAATTATAGGACCCATCTCATCGGTCGTCCAAATGAGTTAAAACATGTTCGGCACGGAGCGCGGGGCCCGACACATTTCTCACATATGTCAACTGCGTCTCAGTCTCATCCGAGCCCCCATACAGGGTAAGAGCCCACGCGGAAGTCCCGAGCCCCCGGCCCCCGGCCCCCGGCCCTGGCCAGCCACTACACAGAAGTGGCTCAGGGGTAGAGCTGGGGGGGGGGGGGCGGCGCCAAGCCCGGGGACTATGGCACTAACCGGGGGTCAAAGTCAGCCAGGGTCTTGAGGGAGTCGGGAGCCCGGATGAGCTTGTCGAGGATGCTGACGATGTCGGCGAACTTGGGGCGGCGGGCGCGTTCCTGCTGCCAGCACTGCATCATGAGCTGGTAGATGGCGGAGGGGCAGTCCATGGGCGTGGGTAGCCGGAAGCCGTCGTTGATGGCTTTCATCACCTGGGGAGGCCAGAGGGTCAGCAGCGCCCCGCGTGGCCGCCAAAGCCCCGCCGGCTCCCTGGGGAGGCCCGCACCAGCAGCTGGGCACAGGAGGGAAGAGGAGCCCCAGACACAGAGGGGACGAGCACTCTTTCTTGAGCCCAACACGCAAGCGTCAAAGACACCGAAGGCGGATGCTGAGGAGGCGGTCTCCAGAGTTCCACAGAGGCAGGGGCTCCTGACCTTGCTCCCTCCGGAGCACCCCAGGGCAGCAGCCACACTGCATGCCCTCCAGCCAGCCTCCCTCCAGCCTCGGGACATCTACACCAGCTGCTCCCTCCAGCAAGCACCCTCTTCCCGTTCCGTGTCTTCCCCCTGCTCCCACGAGGCTCCTTAGTCTCCGGCCTGGCGAGCACACTCACACACCCCACGCACGCACACAGGTACACGCAGGTGTGTGCACACAGGAAGGCACCCGCCCTCCCCACTACCCGTTTCCGTGTCCCTCCACCGACCGGAAGCAGGGAGCAGCTCCGCAGCCCCGCACAAGGCCTGGCTCAGAGCAGACCCTCGATAAACATGGACCGGATGTACCAGAGGAAAGTGAGCCCCCAAAACTCTTCTCCGCCCGGCTCCTGGGGTGCGGAAAGGAGTCGAGGGCTCCAGTTCAGGGCAGGGCAGGGCACGGGGACCTACCTCATGGTTCGACAGCTCCCAGTAGGGCCGCTCGCCGTAGGTCATCACCTCCCACATGACGATGCCGTAGCTCCACACGTCGCTGGCGGAGGTGAACTTGCGGTAGGAAATGGCCTCTGGGGCCGTCCAGCGGATCGGAATCTTGCCACCCTGCAGGAGACCCCAGCCCTGTCACCGCTGGCCCTCCAGCCAGGCCCCCCTTGTCCGTGCGGCCTTGGGCTGTTCCCGCCCTCGGAGCCCACGCCCGGGGGGCAAAGGGCACAGCGTGGAGGCCACTTCACCCCTGGCAGCCACAACCGCCCGAGTGCTTACACTGGTGGTGTAGGTGGCCTCGGGGTCGTCCTCCAGCACGCGGGACAGGCCGAAGTCGGACACCTTGCAGACCAGGTTGCTGTTGACCAGGATGTTACGGGCGGCCAGGTCACGGTGGACGTAGTTCATGTTGGCCAGGTACTTCATGCCGGCCGCGATTCCCCGCAGCATGCCCACCAGCTGCAGCACGCTGAACTCGCCATCCTTCTCCTGCGGAGCACAGGCCATCAGCCAGCGCCCCCCGCCGCCGGCCCCAAACCCCCCAGCGCACCCTGGGCAGCTCCAGGACCCCACCAGCCCCGACCCACAGCCTCACCCGAAGGAACTTGTCCAAGGCCCCATTCTCCATGTACTCAGTGATGATCATCATGGGCTTGTCTGCAGAAGGCGGCACAGGTGTGAGGGGAGGGGGCGGCCAGAGGTGTAGACGGGGCGGGGGGGGGCGGCACAGCTATGGACGGAGCCCTTGTCTGGTGGCCCAAGTGTGCAGCCCCTCTTCACCCCCACTGTGGGTGAGCATGAATGGGGGGGAACGGGGGTCTCCCGCCTCCCCCACTCCGGTCCCCTCCCCAACCCTGGGGCCAGTGCTCACATTTGGAGACGACGCCCTCCAGGCGGATGATGTTGTGGTGGCTAAACTGGCCCATGATGCTGGCCTCGCTGAGGAAGTCCACCCGCTGCTTCTCTGTGTAGCCGGCTTTCAGCGTCTTGATGGCCACGGGCACCTCCTTCTTCCCCGAAGCCTTCAGCGTCCCCTTATACACCTCCCCAAACTCTCCTGTGGGAACACAAGAAGGGAGGAGCGCCCCGTCAGCCTGGCCATCGGCCATTGGGCACTCCCAACTAGTCCCAGACCCCTCTGCGGGGCGCCACGCTCACCTGCTCCAATGACCTTCTGCCTCGTGACACAGGAGGGATGGATCTCGGTGGTGAACTTGAGTACTGCCTGGTTGGGGTCCTCGTACGTGTGGGGGTCCACGTAGGTCTTTAAGGGCTTCAGTTGTTCTGCAGTGGAAAAAGAGAGGCAGGGGCACAGTTTGGTGAGGGGTCTGTGGGAGGGGTCCCCCAAGAGGAAGAGGAGATGATCACTGAGCTTCCAGCTCGGCCCCTCTGAGCTGCTCAAGGAAGCCCCAGCCCCCGCCCCCACCGACCCCTGGGGGCCCCCTCAGCTGCCCCATCTCCACCACAGAGCTGGGGGGAGGGGGCTGTGGGACCAGCAGGGCAGGGTGCGGACGGGCACAGGAGGCCACTGCATCTCACCTGACTTGGAGAAGTAAACATCCTCTGAGGACTGGCGGGTCCGCAAGCTCCTCCTCCTAAGAGAACCCAACAGGGAAACAAACACAGGGGAGGTCAGTGACTTCCTCTGGCCACAAGCCTCCTGATGCTCCCACCCCCCAGTTCTAAGCGGGGGCTTGGTGCGCTGGGCACTCCGCTCAGCAGGCAGAGGGTGCAGGGAAGGCAGTGGGAGAGGCAGGGAGGAAATGAGCAAGCAGGACTCCCTCCTTGGGATCAACGCCCCGTAATGGCCCCATAAGTGGCCATAATGAGGGCTTTCCTCATTAGAGCTCCCAGAGCTTCCTGCCTGCGTGCCCAGAGGAAGTGTGGACACACCGTTACTAACAAAAGCAAAGACGATGACTGCCATGTCCCGAGCCCCCACGGCGTGCCAGGCGCTGGGCTGGGCACCTGACAGCTCACTGCATCTTCCCAGGTCCCCGGGAGGCAGGAATTAGATTTGCCATCAGCCCCATTTTCCAGACAGGCAACTGAGATTCCCGCCCCCCCCGAGTCCCACCTCAGCCCTTGGGGAACCCGGCGTGGGCTCTGACCTGCGATGGATGAAGAAGCCGATTCCCGCCAGCACCAGAAGCAAGACCACGCCAACGGCCACGCCGCCAATCACCGCCATGTTGCCAGATCCTTCCGTGGCTGTCGGGGGAGAACAGCTCATCAGCTGGGAGCCCCCCCGGCACTCCAAATCATGGCAATGCCCCTTCTATACCCAAGGGCCATTTTAGGGACATGTGCTGGATGTCTTTACTCGTGATAGTTTGTGAGAATATTTATTCCCATTTCATAGATGATAAATGACAAATCTTCCCTAGGGAATACGGCAGGAACTGCCAGGTGTGTGGGACTCTTTCCACGACACAGGATTTGAACTGGGTCTGCCAATGCTGGACCCCATGTCCTTCCTTCTCAACACTGCCCTTTAGGCATGTCCCTGGGTCCCCCTCCCCAGACTCGGAGCTGATCCCCGCCAGGCTCTCCTAGGCCCTGGCTGACCAGGACGGGGGGCATTTCTAAGTTCTTTGACTCACTTCCTCCTCCCACACGTCCCAGCTGTCCTGTTTCAGGGCCCCGGCCCGCCTCACGCCCAGCTGCCCAACTCACACAACGTCTGGAACTCATGAACCTTGCTGCCGGCTCCCTGCCCCTCCTGTGTCAGCGCCTGCACCTGGACCAGGTAGACGGTGTCTGGAGCCAGGTCATCCAGGGTCACGGAGAAGCCCTCGGTGCGGCGCACGTTGTAACTGTTGGAGTCCCCCTGTGGGTGAGGGTGGCAGGGGGGGCATCAGCTCGGCCCACCAGAGACCACCCGCAGCTCAGCCTAGCAAAGCAGGTCACTAATGTTAGCAGACCCCGATGCTCTTTTACTTTTAAAATTTTATTTACTTATATATATATATATATATTTTAAAGATTTTATTTATAGTGGCGCCTGGTTGGCTCCGTCATTAAGCTTCTGCCTTCGGCTCAGATCAAGATCCCAAGGTCCTGGGGATCAAGCCCCTCATCGGGCTCCCTGTGCCATGGGAAGCCTGCTTCTCTCTCTCCCACTTCCCCTGCCTGTGTTCCCTCTCTTGCTGTCTCTGTCAAATAAATAAATAACATCTTTTAAAAATGTATTTATTTATTTGAGAGAGGGCCTGAGCACAAGCACAGGGAGGGACAGAGGGAGAAAAAGACTCCCTGCTGAGCGTGAGCCCAATGCAACATGGGCTCGATCCCACAATCCTGAGACCGTGACCTGAGCTGAAACCGAGAGTCGGACGCTCCACCGACTGAGCCACCAGGACGCCCCTTGACGCTCTTCTTACCGTGGAGGAAACAGAGGCTCAGAGAAATGAAGTAAGTCGCTCAAGGTTCCAGCCAGCAAAGGCATGACCCAAGGCGCGAACCCAGGTGTGTCTGATCGCCTGACTTGTCCCCCCAACCCCGACTATCTCTTCTGGGGACTCCAGAACACTCCGTCTTCTCTGCCACCACTCTGCTGTGCTGGCCTAGGAGAGGGGACTCTCGGATGACCCCAGACCTCGGTGTCTTCATCAGCAGAATTCGGTAAGCCATCTACGTGACCAGTCTGGTCCCCTGCTTCCAGCCTGGCCAGGGTCTGCCCTGACCCCGGAGTTACCTTTTTGCGGTAGGTGACCTCATACTTCCACACGCGGCTCTGCTGCGGCGGGGGGATGCTCCAGGACACGCTCAGCGAGGTGGTGCTGCGGTCCTCCAGCTTCACCTTGGGGGGCTCTGGGCAGGACAGTGGATGGGGGAGGGGTGTGAGGAGCCACTGCGGGGGCAGCTGCGGGGCGTGTGGGTGAGCGCCCCTAGACCTGGCCCCACCCACAGCCTGGGTTCTCCAGATCCCAAGCCAGGATTCTTCCGGCTCCGGCGCACAGAGCCCCAGGCCCGGGACCCCGCGGGCTGGCCCATCGGGGGCGCCCTCTGAGTATTCGTGAGCGCGGACGTAATAAAACCCAAGCAACAGCTGACTCTTGGTATATCCTGTCTGGGACCGGTACTGTCCTAGGAGGCTTCTACACGGTAATTTACTGCATCCTCTCAAGAGCCCTATCACGACTCCCATTTGACAGGTGAGGAAATTAAGAGAGGCCGCAGAGCTCAGAGGTAACCCCACAGCCCGTGGCCTTTAACCCCGGCTGCCGCCTCCCTCCGGACACAGCCAAGCCCTGGCTGGCCGTCCCGCTGACACCCGGCCCTCACCTGTCTGGTTGATGCTGACGCTGGCGGTGCGGAAGCTGCGGCTGGCCACCAGGCCCGAGACCCCATTGCGGGCCTCCACCGCGAAGGTGTAGTTCATGTGCGGCTCGAGGTCACTGACGGTCACGCTGGTGCGGGTCAGCGCGTGCGGCGGCTCCGAGTACCGCACGCTGGCCTCGCAGGGCCCGCACTCGCCCGACTCGGGCCAGCACTGCTCGCAGGTGACGCTGTAGATGAGGTCGTCCCGGCCCCCGCTGTCCTGGGGGGGGTGTCCAGCGCAGCTCCACTTTGGCGCCCATGCCCACGGCCGTGAGGTAGTGCGGGGCAGAGGGTGGGCCTGCGTGGAGGGCAGAGGCCAGAGTTCAGAGCCGGGTAGCCTGCGGATATCGAGCAGCACGCCACGTTCCCCCCACACCACCTCCCGGACGCCCTCCCTGACCCACGGCGAGACTCACGAGTGCAGGGCATGGACGGCAGGTCCTGCGGGGCCCGGAAGTAGCCTTCCTCACACTCACAGAATGTGGCGCCCTCAGGGGCCAGCACCGTGTGCACGGGGCACTCCAAACAGGGGCTCTCAGATGCCTCGGACTTGAAGAATCCCGGCGAGCAGGCTGGCGGACACAGGGATGGACATCAGTTCAACCACGTCCCACCCAAAGCGGCTGTTCTGCCAGGACCTCATCATGGGACCCCACGCAGGCTGCTAAACCTCTTGGGGCCTGTCTTCTCATTGGTCAACCAGGTTGTGATGACAAAGTACATGGCAAGCACCCAGAGCTGGGCACCCAGGAAGTGCCTCACCCCATGCTCCAAACCTCTGCACACGCGCCACTGGCCCCCACCAGAGCCATGCCCGAGCCTAGAGCTACAGGCTCCATCTCACCCCATGACCCCACCTCGCGCCTGCCTTGTCCCCTTTAATCCCTGCAGAACAGCCCGAGGGGTCCTCACCTCGGCTTCCAGCCACCCAGGGCAGGAACTGCACCTTTACCGCGGGCCTTTGTTGACCGATGGTCACCACAGCCTCACCCCAGCGGCCAGGCACGCCCACTCAGGATGCCACCCCTGTAGGTGTCCCCTTCACCCCAGGACCCGGCTGCCTTCCTGTTCCGGGGCTGGGCCACCAGGAAGCAGAGCAGGCCAGGCCCCCAGCATCTTCTGTGGAGCTGCTCCCAGGACCGAGTCATTTCCGCCACTCACAAGGGCAGCCAGGAAGCGGCTTTTCCTCCCCCGGTGGAAGGTCCTGTCCTGGCTGGGCAGGCTAGGGGCTCAAGCACCTGACTCCAGAGGCTTCTTCCTCCCACCACCCTATCCTGCCCCTGCCCCAAGCCCCTTCCTGGCAGGCAGGAAGCTGCCCAGACACGGGGCCTACGGTGCAGGGCTGCTCAGGGCTTGGGCAGTGGCCGAATGGCCAGAGTGGGGGGTGGAATCACCCTAGGGGACCTCTTCCGTAACCCCATCACTACTGTACCCGCCTCCATCTTATTCTTGGACAGAGTCCTGAGACACCTCAGGATATCACTCTGCGGCGTGGACCCTGAGATAAGCCAAAGCCCCTGAGCTCAGGGAGTGGGAGCGCATGACTATGTCTGCCATAAAGGGGTAGGTGAGAGCTAAGGAGGGCTGAGGAAACACAGCGGGATATTTCAGCTGGGGCTTAGAGGCTGAGTAGGAGTTCAGCAGGGCAGAGATGTTGGAAGTAATGTTGGAGGTAAGAACCAGCAGGACTCACATAGAAAATTATGAGTGGCCTTCTGGCCATAAACGGGGGGAGCAGGAGGCAAGAAGGCCGAGAGGCTTCCAGGGACCAGACTGTAGGAGTCCTTTAATGCCAGGCCAGGGAGCCAGGACTTTACCCAGGGGCGATGAGAGCCATTGGAGGACTAAAGGTTTGAGGCAGAGCCAAATGGCACAGTTAGATCCACGCTGTCGAGAAAATTCTTGGACAAAGTCTCCCTCCTTGTCCAGTCTCTGTGTGAGCGGAGGTGGGGAGCAGGACTGGGAGTCAGGGGACAGGACTCCAAGGCCACCTCGACAGCCGCTCTCGCCCACCGTGAGTGAGAAGCCTGTCCCACCACGTGCCGCTGCCAGCTCAGAACCGCAGTAGAGGCCCTGAGGGCGCTCGCCCAGGACAGAGGGGGCCTGGGACCCACTCCTGCTCTGTGCAGCAACACAGTGACCGGTGCTGATGAGGGACCTACGATGTGCAGCTCCCAGACCACACACCTGACGTTCCTTCAGTCCTCACAGCAAGCTCGTCAGATGAGGACACGGTATCATTCATTCCACTTTGGAGGGGAGGAGCCCGAAGCCCAGACAGACAAGGCCACTTACCCAAGGTCAACAAGCTCCCAGGACACGAAACCAAAACCTAAACCCAGGACGCCTGACTCTGAGCCCCTCTCCTCCCGCACGCACCTCGCTTTGGAGCAGAGAGAAACCAACGTTCTGATACGAGCCTGAAGAGACAGGAGAGGAGTCCTGCCCCACTTTAACAGCCCGAAAATCCCAAGACTAATTTCAGATCAGAGCAGCTGGGGGTGGGGGGGCTGCACCTCCCGACGTAGGTCTAACACGACACGTACACGGGCTATGTGAAGAAACGGTAGAATCAACCCCACAGCACTGGCTGAGGAACCAAGTCTCCTGCTGTCCGGCAGCAACCCACGTGTATATTTTTTTAAGATTTTAATTTTAAGTAACCTCTGTCCCAATGTGGGGCTCGAACTCACAACCCCGAGATCTAGAGTCGCGTGCTCCACCAACTGAGCCAGCCAGGCGCCCCTCCTGTGTAGTCTGCATTCCTCTTTATGTATCTGTCACGTTACAAAAATAGCTCTCTCCCCCCAGATCTTCAAGTAAAAATGAGACTCCAGAGAACCAGGCCATTTTACCTTGGGATTTCAACTCCCCCGAGTGCCCTGACTTGGCTCTAGAGGGGCCTGTGTATACCCCAGGTAAGGACTGACTCCAGCTGTCCAGGCCCAGTGGAGTCGGGGCGCTTGGGGGGAACCCCCAGAATCACCTTCCAGCCCAGGCTGGGGAGGGGACCTCAAGCCCCCACAGCTCGGGCTTGGTTCTAAAGGAAGGCATTAGCCGGGGGCACCTGGGTGGCTCAGTCATTGAGGGTCTGCCTTCGGCTCAGGTTAGGATCACGGGGTCCTGGGATCAAGCCCCACATGGGGCTCCCTGCTTAGCAGAGAGCCTGCTTCTCCTTCGCGCTCTCCCTCTGTGCTCTCTCTCAAATAAATAAAAATCTTAAAAAAAAAAAAAGGGGCGTTAGCCACCTGCAACCCCCCACAAAGCCGTGACCCCCCACGTGGCCAGTCCCCCAGTCCTATACCCAGAGGAGGAAGGTGGGGTGGGGGAAGAGTCAGGTTCCATGCTTTGGACCCAGAGCCCGGGGGTGGCCTGCCGGCTGCCGGCAGGAAAGAGGGAATTTGGAGAGATTTCCGCTGCGGATATGCCAGATAATACAGCGGATAGGCCCCATCAACAGGCATGTGCTTGCCTGATGAGAAGGCGCTGCCTCCTCCTCCAGCGGCACAACCACGAGGGGCTGTCCCCGGGGCCCTGCCACAGTGGGCCAGTGCTCGGGGGCCCCAGAGTTCACAGTGAAGACCCCAGCAAGCCCCTGCGTCTTTCTGACCTTGCCTGGCTGGATCTGCTGGCATTCTGGGCACACGTCGGGTGCTCACACACACCCAGACCCACCCACGTGCACAAAATACCCACGGTCCCCTAGCCAACCGGGGGACTCCTATGCAGCCTTCAATGCCCTGCTTGAGTTCCTCTCCACGGCGCTCCCGGACTGCCCAATTTCTGGCCCTCTTCTGCCCCCGGGGGGGGGGGGGCATCTGTTACTCAACCTTATGTTTACCAAATAGAAACAGAGCACTTCCTACGTGTCTGGCACCAACTGGGATATGACAGTGAGGCAGATAACACCCATTTCTGCTTTGGGGAAGTTCACAGCCCGGCTTTCGGGCTCCCTTTGAAATGACTCCTGCTCCTAGGAGAGCCTTCTGCAAGACCGGCAGCAGGCACGGGGCCCCGTCTCTCTGGGGCCCATGGCTCAGCACAGGGTCGGGCACGCAGTTGGGGTGCAGCTACCATCTGTCAGCTTGGTGGAGGGACCGGTGAGCAACTGAATGAGTGAATGAATGAATGAATGAATGAAGGTGTGAGTCAACGGCTAAAACCAGGACGTGCAGATTAAACGTTCGCCCCAGGAGCGAGTAGTGTCACAGCATCCTGGGAGACCTTGCGAGGACAGCACCCCAGGACGTCCCCCGCCCCACACCAGAGCCTGGCCTCCACGCACCTGTGGACGGCTTCTCTGGCTCCAGGTTGCCTGGCGGGCCTGGGCTACACTGAGCATGGGAACTGGGCCACAGCGGCTGCACCCAGAGCGGCACCCCGGTTTTTCCAGTTCCCGATGCCCGCCTCTCAGGTGGCAGCGTGGAGTGACTTAGGGACATACGCCCTCCGGGGTGACGCAAATCTCGCCCCTGGCGGAGCCCCTCCCCCCAGGTCCAGCCACCTCCCCAACTGGTGGTGGCGAGGTCACAGGGTCAAGAGGTCACAGTGGCCATTCACCTGGGGCCAGTCACCTCCCCAGGCCATGGAGGCAGAGCGTGGACTTTGTCTTGTGCCCTGACAGGCAGCCAATGGTGACCCAGAAGTCACGGACCCTGCCCACGACCCTGCCCATAAAGGGAACTGCTCGCTTCTGACCCTGCGGCTTCTCCCCTTTCCCCACCGTGGGCCCCAGCAGCCCCATGTGGGGATGTCCCCATGGCCCAACCGCCCCCTTCACACACACCCCAGAGAACTATCTTCAGGCACATTCCTCCCCTGAGCCCGAGATAAGCGCAGCCCCGCCACCACCCCCACCAGCCTCCACCTCCTGCTGTCTCCCCACCACCAGCCTTTTATCTTCTGTTTGCTTTCCCTGCCTCCTTCCTTCCGTTCTGGGGACCCATTTACCTCTGGAGAGGGAGAGGGCAGGAGGGGCCGCCCCATGGAGCTGCCAGCCCGGTGTGGGCTGAGGGTGGGGCAGCTAGGGCGCAGAGGTAGGGGGGCTGCCATCCATGACTCCCACCCCAGCGGGCCAGAGGAAACCACAGAAATGAGGCCTGGAAAGGGACGTGCCCAAGAGTCAACAGCTCACAGAGCCCCCAGCCTGGGGCTCAGTCACATCCCGATGGAGTGGGGCTTCTGGCGATAGCTCCCCACAAAGCCTGGGGCCAACCTGCCCCGAGACCACCTTGACCAGAGCTGTCCCCTGCCCAGGGAGAGCCTCCCCTTCAGCTATGGGCCCCGGGCTGGGCCTGGGCCACTCAGGATGCCAGTACGAGGACCCTGCTCCTCGCCCCGTGTGGCGAGGTCACCCAGTCAGCTGCTTACCAGGGCAATCCAGGTTTTCAGGCTTTGGGTAAAAGTCACAGGAGGCAGATTCTGATCACGAGCTCGGCCAGGGTCCAACACCCGCCCCCCCCCCGGACTTTGACAGGCAGGCTGAATGAGACCCAGAGGGGACTTGCCAAGGGCTCACAACTTATGAGAAGGACACACGCCAGGGGCAGTGAGCTGGGAACCGTATGCCCCCCTCTTCTTGGTCACTGGTCACTGTTTCCTCTCTCTGGGCCTCAGATTCCTCATCCACAAAATAGAGCGAACGTCCTCAGCCTTTCTGGGTTTAGGAAGACTGAAGGAAACCGAATGAAATGCTCAGCCTGGTGCCTGGACCGGGTGGGGTGTCCCTATGAACCGGGGGACAGAAATTAGAGAGGAGACATCCCCAGGGGGCTGGGCCCCTTGAAGGAGCAGGAGCCTCCAAAGATGGAATTCCCCACGGTGCCCATCTCCAGCTCCAGACTCCCAGCTGCTGGGCTGAGCCTCTGGCCTGAGCCGCTGGCCACCTGCTCACCTGGCCGGCAGTGCCCACGGCTGAGGCACCAGGGAGGGCCCCAGCAGCTCAGGGGCCGATGCCAACACAGGAAGCAGAGACAAAGCCACCCCAGGGATGAGGACAGTCAGCCTGAGCGACTCCACTGTCCCCCAGGCAGGGCCGGGGGCAGGGCGGGGGCCCAGAGTGAAGGTGGCTCATTCCTGACATAGCTCCAAGAGCTCTCCGGGCAGGGTGCCCACCTGTCCGATCGCAGCACCTGGGAGGTGCCTCCCTTGTGTTGTCCATTTAACTCTTTCCTGAATGCCAAGGTTCCTGGGGAAAGAACCCTGAAAAGCAGTGAGCTCTGAAGATGACCCGGACCAGGTGCTCGGTGACCTCAGGCAATCCACACCCCTCTCTGGGCATGATCTGTCATCAGTAAAAGCCCCAGTGGGAGAATCTGGCTCCATGACCCTGTGGAGGGTCAGGCGGGGAGGGCCAGCCTGCACCTGCCTCCACTTCTCCCACCGTGTGCTCATAACGGCACCCGACCATCCACCCTCCCACACCAGGACCCGCCATCCGGGGGCTGCACAGTGAGCTCGTGCTCTGTCCGCTGGCCAGGAGCTGAGTCAGGGATTCCAAAGGAACTGGTCATTTCCCGCCCCATTTCCTGACCCATCCTCTGGCCTGGGCGCCGCCGCATCGCCCGGATTCAAATCCTGCTGCAACCACACATCGCTGTGTGACTCCAGGCAAGTCTCTCCACCTCTCTGAGCCTCTGTCTCCTGTCTATGAAGTGCCACGAAGACAGGTAGGCCCGATTCAGCAAGCCTGCCAAGAAAGTGCTCACCTGGCTCCCAACAGCCCGTGGAGGGCACCTGTCTGCAGGAGCTCCTGTTATCATCTCCACTGGCCCCATGGTCGGGGGGGCACTACTACAAATGCCTGTAGGGATCAGAGAAGCCCGGCTAGGGCTTCCCAGCCATACCAACGGCCCCTAAGAACGACGCTGAGGGATCTCAAGGAGGAAAAAGTAGGGCAACAGGTGGCTGGGTCCACAAGCCAAGTCAAAGATTTTGTTCTTGGAAACCAGTCCTCCCAAACTGGGGCCTACGCATCTCTTCACCAGCAAAGCGTGCCAGAACCCTGACCCCCCTCCACCTCCAGGGGAAGGAAGCTTGCCCCCTCCTACTGGAGAGAGTCTCCCCCCTCCAACCGTCCCAACCCCAACGTCCACTTATCTCTGCAGGGCCTGAATCACCAGCCTGTGGAAAGTTTTCAGCTGCCCCTCACCCCCCACCCCTGCATTCTTGTGTGAGGATGTCATGTGGGAGGAGCCTGCTCAACCCACTGGGCTGCCTTGGCCCCCCACACCCCACAGTCATTGTCTGAAACTGGGAGTGTGCACCGGAGATCACCTAAAGCAGGGGCCGCCTCGGGAAGAGAGACTCGGCATAGGGGAGCTGGAAGGACAATGGGGTAGTAGGAAGGGCCGCGGTAGGGACTACACTGCAGGCCTACCAGGGAACTTCTCATCCAGGGGTTCACAGACTGTGTTAAGCAAGGTTCTGAGGATTTGTTTGAGGAGGCAAATGGAGCCTAACAGAAAAGGCTTTGGGCTCCTCCAACATTTGAACCTACTTCGTCTGTCACACGATCTATAGCTAAAAAACAAGCAGAAAGCCTCTTATTTTAGGCCAGAGATGAAGAGAGATTCAACCAAGATCACCCAGTAGGTACAGGCAACTGCAAAGACTGAACCCCAGTTTCTCAACACCCCGCTGATCTCAGCAAAGAAATTCCCAGAGAGCGCGGATGAGCTGGCCTTCCAACGGCTGGCCTGCATTCCACAAATGCCCTGCCCCACAGCCATTTCTAGAAAAAGCCACCCACTGAAAAAATCCACATTGATGTAGAGATTTCCGCTGTCACTGGCCCTGGCCGTGCCAAGCCACAGCCTCCCTATGCGAGCTCCCTAATGCCCAGGCCCCGTTCCCAGACACAGTCCCAGACAATCGGACCCCCCTCTGGCTTCTATCCGTCATCCACGGAAGATTCATCAGGAGAACCTGGGTCACAGCCCTAGGGAAGGTCAGGCACGGAGGGCAGACTCTGCACCTGCCTTCCACTTTGACCTCAATGCAGACACTTTTCCAAAGTTTGCCAGGTGAGTCGTGTGCAGCTGGGGGGCCATGTGAATCCTGGGTCCAGTTCCCTCACCACCACGCACCAAAGAGCAGCCTGAGACCCAGAGAAGTTAAGTGACTTGCCTTAGGTCACGCAGTGAGCTAACAGAGATGGAACGAGCTCTGGGGATGGGACCATGCAACCACAGTGTTGGTATATAGACGATACTGAAGTTATATTTGTGGAATGAATCAAAAATAACAAGCACACTTAAAAGCACTTATGTGTCAAGCACTGAGCTAAGCACTCCATGGGCATTAGGTCATTTGATTATCATAACAACCCTACAAGATGGGCCCTGTGTTCCTCTCCATTTTACAGAGGTGGCAACCAGGCACAGAGAGGTTAAGAAACTGGCCAAAAGTCACACAGCTGAATACAGAGCTGAGATTTGAACCTAGGCATGTTTGCCCTAGAATCCTTGCTCATAACCTCCACGGCACACGGTTTTTCTGCTTATTCCTTCTCAGTGAATGACTGAACCCACCCATAAATAAGGAAACCGAAATCCGGAATGGCTCTGGGAGTCCCACTCACAGAACCACCGCGCATCAGAGTGGGGGCGACCTTCCCAGGGTCCCCACACAGCCAGAGCCAACACTAGAACCCAGAAGCCCAGCCTCTGCTCCTCCCCCAGCACTCCCATCCCCCACCAGCCCCGCACGGCCACTCACCCTGGCAGGCGTCCTCCACTTTCTCATAGCCGGCCTCGCACAGGCACTGACCGATGGGCACCAGCCACTCGCCATCCACCGCGCAGTGCATGCGGGGCTCGTCGCCCCCCGGTGGCACCACCGCGTGCTCCACGCAAGTGCCGGCCACCGTGGCCAGGGAGGGCGCGTCGGAGCCCGCGATGGTCTCGGAGAAGCGGGCCAGGCCCTGCAGCAGCTCAGGGCACTTCTTGTAGTACACGCGGACGGAGAGCAGGGCCACGCAGGCGCCGATGTCCTGGAAGGCCAGGTAGAAGCCCTTGCGGGTGAGCGGCCCCACAGAGCGCTCCTCCACGTTCAGCTTCACGTGGCGCGCCTCGAAGTCGCTGCTGACCGTGATCTCGTCGGGCGCGATCGTGTCGATCTTGGTGAACTGGCGCTTCTGGAAGTTGGTGCCGTAGTCCACGTCCGACTCGGCATAGTAGAGGTTGAAGGTCTCCTTGCAGGAGCTGGCGCCCCCAGGGAAGCTGTTGCAGTCCCGCACCGTGAACTTGAGCTCGATGAAGATCCGCTCGGCCTCGCCGCGGTACACCCAGTTGGTGCGGAGCCAGTTGTCCTGGTCACCGGCCACCACGTTGCACACAGAGTACATGTAGATGGGCATGTCGTCCATGATGTTCTGCATCAGGTCCCACTGTGCGCAGGGAGCGGGGGTTGGGGGGTGGACACAGGTGAGTGTGGGCGAGTGCCCAGGGAGAAACTGAGGCCCAGAGGCAATGCCCAGGTAGCAAGTGGGCATCAGGACGACACTTAACAGTTTTTAAATCCTAGCTTTGGAACAGGTCATCCTCAGAACATGAGCTCCGTCTCCTCTGGGAAGACTTGAGCCAAGTGCCCCCCTCTGGCTCCCAGAATCTCCACATTCCCTTTATCACAGCACTTGGCACCTCTGTGCTGATACCTCCATCTGTCCCCACACTAGATTCTGAGCTCACTGGGGCAAGGACTGCATCAGACTCATTTATTGTATCTCCAGGGCCTGCAAGGAACAAAGTTGGAGCTCAGGAAAGCACCTGTTCAAAGAACAAGGGAATGACTGAATGAATGAATCAAAGCAGAGGAGCTGGGAAAGAAGCCTGGACTACACCACAGGACATTGGCCAAGGCCTCACTCCAATGTCCTTGGGCCTCAGTTTTAGTCTCCCACCCTATAAAATGAGTGTTGGATTAGGTGATCTGTGTTCCCTCCCAGCAGGACATTAGAATGTCCTAGAGGGTCCTGGAATCTACAGAGCTGTATCTCAGGCCTGCAGAGGGTTAAGGTGACCAGGGACAAGCACATGACTCACACAGATCTGGCCAGCAATGGAAACTGCCCCAAGTAGTCCCCTGGAAACGTACTTCTCCCTGGCTCAGGGCCCCAGGACAAACTCAGCAAGGGCCCATTATACAGAGAGAAAAACTGAGACCCAGAGAGCATCAATATCTTCCCCAAGGTCACGCAAAGCCAGGAAAAGGATCTCAGGGTCTTGCCCACCAGTCCTGGTGGCAGTCGGGCAGGGAAGGGGGGCAGGTCTTGGGTGGGGATGAGGCAAAACAAATTCAGCCCCTAGCAGGAAGGGGAAGTACCAGCTGGGGAAGAAGGGAGAGGGGCCCAGCAGGAAGGAACTGGATCCGGTTTCCTGGGGCTAGAGCTACTGTTCCCTGTCTCTCCCTTACCCCTCACCTTCTGGGCTGGGACTTTGAAGACAGAAAGCCTTTAACCCCTTCCTCCCAAGAGGTAGATGGAGGAAACTAGAGGGGGTTCCTCTGAGCATTGGCCCGCTGGACATCCAAGGGGCTCTGCTCAGCCGGGGCTTCCAGCTGTCTCCCCAGCCCTTTCTGCCTCTCCGTTCCCTACCTTCCAACCCCAGGCTCCCTGCCCCAGACTCTGAGCCTGGTGTGGGAAGCAGGAGCTTGATCTAGGACTGAGCTGTTGGATTTAGGCTGGCCCCACCTTCCCTGGGCTTCAGTTTCCCTATCCCCATGCCCCCGCTTGACCTTGAAGGCTTACCCCTTTGCCGTATGGGTGCGTGAGCCAGCCGAGTTCCCCTTTAGCTTCGGCGAAGTCCAACAGTACAACTGGAAGAGAAGGGAGGGAGGGCCTGTGAGCTTGGGGGGTGTGTGTGTCCCCAACCCAGGTCCAGTGGGAAAGGTGAGAGTCCCCCAGGAGGCCCAAGAGGCCTTGATGGCTTCCTCAGCTGTCATAGAGAGAGCACACTATATGGGGTCACTATATCCCAGAGACCAGGGATGCAGGCAAGGGAGGGGACCCAATCAAAGCCATGTGACAGGCTGGGGGAGGACTAGGGCCCCCGTCTCCCAGGCCACAGCTCCAGCCACGCCAGCCCCTCTAGGGGTCAGCCCCCAGCTGGGTAGTGCAAGACAGAGCTCAGCCCAGCAGGGGACAGCAGCTGGGCAGAGAGCTGGGGCGGGCAGGGCTGGTAAGTGACACCACGCCTGCCCCGTCTGCTTCCGGAAACAAAGCCTCTCAACAGCACTTCACACGCCATGTGGGGCTCGGGAGCTCTCGTGTCTGCCCCTGCCACATCCCCGCCCCCAGCATGAGACACCCCCACCCCACCCAAGCCAAGAAGCACACGTATGTACATACATGTCTCGTGGCATTCCGAGAGGGCTGTTAACAGGTGGGAACAGCTCCAGGGGAGGAGGGGGGGGATGATGAGTGGGGGGTTTATGGAAACTGATCTCCCCACTACAAAAGCCACAGAGCAGGCAGGATGAAGCTCTGACCCACAGGGCCTCCAGGAGGGGCCCAAAGATACACACAGCTGGCGAGGTCCCGTCCCTGGGAAAGTCGCTCCCACTGCCCTGTCCCTCACACCCTGGCTATGGCCCCGCCGGCGGTGCCTGGGGGACCAGAGATGGAAACCTTCAGAGAGGACTTCCAGGTCCACAGGGAGGAGAGATGCATCTGGAGCCTGATGGAGGGACACACTACCAGCGGCCTCCCAAAATCCAGCCCTGCCCTTGGGCAGCTCCCATCCGTCCATCCCTGGCTCTTTGCCAGGCTCGGTGGCTACAGCCAAGACCCAAGACCCTGGGTAAGTCAAGTCCAGGTCGCAGACAATAGGCACCACCCTCCCTAAACAGAGAGGACACTGGGGGAGCTCAGGCAGGGAACCTAGACAATGTCCCGTCCCCCCCCCCCCCCCCCCCGTATCAAGAGGGTAAAACCCTGGTGGAGGGGGACCAAGCACTCACTTTCTTGGACCCTGGAGCATGAGGATTAAATAAGGCCTCAAGAAGTGGCATTCCTCAGGCCTAGGATTTGGAAGAGTATCTCTAAGGGTGGAACCCGGACAGGCAGGGGGCAGAGATGGGCCCGATTTAGGGGTGAGGCTGGAGTGAGGGGCTAGAGAGAGGAGTCTTCGAGATCCCTCCTGGGGTCAGGATGGCCTCCTCCCCTGGGCTGAAGGCCCCCAGGCCTGATGTGAGGCATTGCCAGCCGCTGCTGACCTGGGCCAAATCTCTCTAGGAAGGGCCCTGCAGCCCAGACCGGAAGGAGGAAATCCGATGTGGCACCTGTCCCAAGGCTATGGGGATAGGGGAAGGTGGCTGGAGCGGGTGGGGTAGGGGCACAGATTTGTTCAGGCATGCCCGGGGCCCAGGCTTGGAAAACTCACTCACCCCACTAGCAAATGGAATGTTCTGGCTACAAAGGAAGGAATCTGGGGGTTCCTGGCTCCGGCTGGGTGGGTGGAAGGAAAATAGTGAGTGCCCCCCAAAAGTTCTCTGTATCTCCTCCTCCTAGACTAGTGGAAGCTGCAGACTGTGCCCCTGAGGGACGTGGCCCAAGGCTCCCAGCCTCTGAAGGGTTAACCTGGCCCAGAGGGACCCCACCACCCCTGCCAGAGCACATTCCCCTTCCAGCCCTTGGCCTGGCTCTTGAAGTATCACGGGGCTCAATCTGAAAAGAAAAGAAGCCTTCACACAGGAAGGAGGCTCCCCAGGGGGCTTCCAGCCACAGCCCCCTCCCTGTAAATTCCCTAGAACTGATCACCAGGAACGGAGCCCAGCCTGGTCCGGGGCCCTCTCCCCAGCTCTTCAGGGACAGAGGGCTCCGGTTCCCTGGAAAGGGTGGGGGGCCTGGGAGCCCCTTGGCTCACCGATAAGCCCTGGTTAGGCAGGCTCATCCAGGAGCCCTGGATCCCTCTCACCACCCCCAGGAAACCTCCCTCCCTGACTCTCTGCCTTCGGTTCCATCACGAATGTCAAATGGCTTTCTTCACTCAAACACTGCACTACCTGGGGTCACCTCCCTTCTCCCCACATCCCACTTAACCGAAACCAACTAATTCCTAAAGAAAAGCGGGGGACTATAGGGGCTCTGTGGGGGAAAAGGGAACAGAGGGCAAACGGGGCTCTTACAGAACAACCCAGCAAAGGACTTTCCGGGGCCCCGGAGCACTCTCCGGCACCCTTGCCATCAGCCACCTCATTGGCACCACAGCACCCCTGCCCAGCTACTCTGTTTCCCAGGAAAATCGCCCTGAAACCACAATGCCAGGGGACGTGGGCTCCAGCAGCTCTAGATGCCATCCTCTCAGATCTGACCCTCTGTGCAGAGGGCCCTGACTGGCAAGGGCTTAGCTTGGGTCTCCCTCAGTTTCCCCATCTGCAAAAAGAGGACAGATTCAGTGGCTACTGAGAATCCATCTGAGTCCATCTGGGTCTTCAAATACATTCTCGCTCCTCTACCCACAGGGAGGAAGCGAGAAAGAAGGAAAGTGAGCAGCGGGTTATATTAAGGGTGGAAGGGGCCTGTGTGTCCTGCTCTCTGCCCACACATACACACCTCCCACCTACCCCCAGGCAGATCCACCACACTGGGCCCGAAAAGCAAAGAACAGAACCCACCAGCAGCTGCCAGCTGGGCCAACACCCCCCACCCTACCACCACCACCACCACCACAGGCATATCTAGGGAGTTGTTCACGGGGACTCTTGGAGCCGAAGCAAAAATGTTCCCCCACCCCAGGACTCTCCAATACACATCCTTTTCCTCCCTAATCCCATGGGGCGGGGGCTAGTGGGCTAGGATGGGGAGGGCACAAGGACGGGGCAGCTACAGGCTTCCAGGCTGGCGACCAGGGCTGCGCAAGGCCGCTCAGCAGCTCAGTAGTGTGGGTCCTGCCTAATCCCCTCACCCCCAGGACAGCCTCCCAGAAAAGCCTGTAGTGATTCCAGCTGTCTCTCCCCTTCTCTCCAGGCACAGTCCCCCAGGAAGGGGGAGGACCAAAAGCCAGTGGGGTAGGGAAGGGGTTGAGTATTGGAGATGGCAGCAATCCCTGCCTCCCACTCCTGCAAGTTGGGACCAAGAGCCCTGACCCATCCAGGAACTGGGACAGGATGCGCCCCCCACCTCCACCTCCAAGAGTTCCAACTCTGCCCTCTTTTGCTCCCAACCTGGAAAAGCAAAACCTCCCACCCCTTTTTGGGAGGCAGATAAAGAAAGCAAGGCTCAAGGAAACTTCTCACTCGCCGGGTTTCCTCTGCACTTCCCCCTGCTGGAGCCTGCGGAAGCCGCCCTCTGCCCAGTCGGACGGGGAAAACTTGCTCTCACTGTTGGAAACCGAAGCCGGCTTCGGCCGGTGTAGGACAGGAAGGTCCCCGGCCAAGGGCAGGAGCCCCCACCCGCTCTGCGACCCTAGCCGAGGGGCAACGCCCCCCGTCACACACCTGCCCCACCCAGGGCAAAGTCTGCCGGCCCCTCACCCCGCTCCGCTCCGGGAGCGCTGGGGCGGGGGTGGGTGATTCAGTCCCCCACCCCCGGATGCCCGGACTCCCCGGTGGCCCTGGGGTGACGGCTCCACACCTTGAAAGACCGCGCCCCCACCTGCCGCATTTCCTCGTTCTGAGTCACCCCTAGCTCAGAACGCTTGACTTTGGGACTTCCTGTCCGCAATCGCGGCCCCGAACCTGACCCCCGAGCCTGGGAATGCGGGTTGGGAAGACAGGGAGGCTCTGCGTGGGCAGGTTGGCCCGAAACTCCCCCCATACTCTCCTGCCCGACTGGAGGCAAAGGGAGGCGTGGAGAAAATCTCAGGGAGCAGGGGCTTCCGCTGGGGGCTCCCTGCCGGCCGAAGATACCCCTCCCCAAAATCAAGGGGCCTCCACAAGGATGCTTCTCCGCAAAATCGGGGCAAGCGGGTTAGGGAAGACAAGTCACCGAGACGCTGAGTTCGCGGAAAGCTCCTCAGACACGCCGTTCTCCAAGGGACCCCCGCGCCCCCAACGGGACGCGTTCCTGAAGCCGACAGCGGGACTGCGACCGCGTGGCCGGCGCCGCCGCCCGTTCCCGACGGCCTCCGAGCCCCGCGCGCCCGGCCGCCACCCCTGGGTCCCCCGAGGCCCCCTAACTCTGGTGCAGGGGTTCCCAGATTCGTCGCGAAGGCGGCGCGCGCGCGCCCTCCCGACCCCAGCACAACGGGGCTGGCGGCGCCAGGTCGGTTTCCAAAGTTGCGCGCGTCGCCCCGCCGGGCTCCGAGAGGCTCGGGGTGCCGGGGTCGGGCAGCTCGGGCTGCGGCGGGCCGGGGCGGCCCCGCGCGCGCACTCACCTTCCTTGCCCTGCGCCGCAGCGGCCGCGGCCAGCAAGCAGCCCCACAGCAGGGCCAGGCAGGCGCGAGGCTCCACACTCTCCATGCCGCCTCCTCGCTCCCGGCCGGGTCCTTGGCGCCCTGGTCCCGCACGCCCGCACGCCCGCACGCCCGCCTCGGTGTCCGCTCCCGCCCGCGGCCCGAGCGCAACTTCTCGCCTCCTGCCCCAGTCCTTAATGGAAGTTGGGTGAGAACCCGCTCGTGTTCATTCATGCCCCGCGCTGACGTCACCGAAGCCACGCCCTCAGGAATGTCTTTAAAGGGGCAGGGCTGGCACCAGGCTGGAAAGGAGGGGAGTCCCTAGGGGGTTCCGGAGGACCCTGGAGCCCTCTGGACATCCTGGCGCCCCCCAGGCCCTCCCAAGTTTCAGCTCTGAGCCAGGATCCTCGGCCCAGATGTGGGGATGGTTGGCCCTGAGCCATCCGCACTCTCACCCTTTGCCCTTGGGATGGGGCTCAACGTTGGCCTGCAGGCCTGGGCTGACATGGGGTGGGGGGCAAGGAGCCGTTGCCTCCCTGGCAGCAGGCCTATAAGGGGAGCTGTGAAACAGACTGGGATGCCCCTCTTTCTGGGACCTCTGAAGGGCGCACCAGACCGGTGGAGGTCGAAGAGAGCATCAAGGCTTGGGAGCCTTTAAGAATATGGTAATGTGGGGCACCTGGGTGGCTCAGTTGTTAAGCATCTGCCTTCCACTCAGATCATGGTCTCAGGGTCCTGGGATCCAGATCCCCTCATCAGGCTCCCCGCTCAGCGGGAAGCCTGCTTCTCCCTCTCCCACTTCCCCTGCTTGTGTTCCCTCTCTCACTCCCTCTCTGTCAAATAAATAAATAAATAAAATCTTTTTTTCCTTTTTTTTTTTTTAAGATTTTATCCATTTACCCGAGAGAGAATGAGTGAGAGAGAGCATGAGAGAGGAGAAGGTCAGAGGGAGAAGCAGACCCCCCAAGGAGTTGGGAGCCCGATGCGGGACTCGATCCCGGAAGTCCGGGATCATGACCCGAGCCGAAGGCAGTCGCTCAACCAACTGAGCCACCCAGGCGCCCCAAATAAAATCTTTTTTAAAAAGAAAAAAAAAATGAATACATGAATACCGTAATCTAAATGCAACCACCTCTAGGAATGAGTCAGACATGGATTATTTCCTGTAACTCTCCTCTGGGAACCAGGTGTCCTTATCCCCCCATTTTACAGAAGAGAACACTGAAGCTCCAAGCCCTTACACACATGCCCAAAGTTTGCACAGCTCAAAGGAAGTAGAGCCAGGATTTGAATCTAGGTAGTCTCTGCTTCAATCGCTGCCCCATACCGGGGAAGGGCAGGCAGGAGGCTGCTGTTGGAGCACCCCACACCCCACCCCGGCATGGCTGAATCAGTCAGTCTGTCTCAACACTTTGGAGGGCACCTGCCTCCCACCTGCCCCTTCAAGGGGCCTCTTCCCAAAGGTTTCTCAGACGTGAGCTCATCTCCCCTCCTGTCGGAAGCTGCTGGACTTAGTGAAACAAATGGGAAATGTCCTCTCACCCGCCTGCCGGCCACCCACGGCTGCCAATTGCCCAATCACCATTTGGCCAGTCCGGGAGGAGAAGCTGTAGCAGGCCTGATTCCCTGAGAGGCTCCAGGTCCCTCTGTCCACCTCCCTTCTCTTTGACCCCATCCTGGACTATCCTGACTCCCCCGGATCTGTTTGCCAAAGGCCCAACTGTGCTGCTCCAGTCCCGGCGTCCTCCCTGCCAGCTGTGGACATCTTGGCCTCTCGGCCTTGGCGCCTGCCCTTGGGAAGCGGGTCCAGACACCTCCTCTGGAGAAGGAGGAGGGCTAATTACAGGTGTTGGGGTAGCGTAATTAAAGCCTTTGACCAAGATGATAGGAGAGTCTTGGTGTTCTGAGAGTCTGTGAGCGTGCAAGTGTCCATGAGAGTGCGTGTTGGTGTGCGGGAGCACATGTGGGCATGTCAGGGTGTGTGTGCATGCACGCACTCACGCACATACACTCACATGCCTGCGCACATGTGAGTGTATGTGCATGAGTGCATGCAGGTGTGTGGGTATACGTGTGTGAGCGTGCGTGTAAGCCTATGTGGGTGTAAGAGGATGTGTGTGTGTGTGAGTGTGCCCTCGTGGCAAGGGCTATGGAGTCAACCCACGGGTTTTTGGATGTTTCCCTTCTCTGAGGCTCCATCTGCTTATCGGGAAGATGGATTAACCTCCTTCAGAGGTTTATGGTGACGACGGAGGAAGGTCGTGCATGTCCACTGCACACACAGGCCGGGGCTGTGGGACGTCCTGGTTAAACCCCGGCTGTGACTACAGTCACAAGCGACTCAGGGGGAAGAAGCGGCCTCTGAGCTGGACAGGGCTTATGGGCCCTGGTCTCCCCCATGGCGCGTGCATGGTGTGTGTGTGTGTATAAATGTGTGGATGAGTGTTTTGCGTGTTGTGCTGGACACTCCGGGCTAAGGTGAATGGAAGATTTCACGTGTCGTAGGTACGACCCCGCCTGTACATGTGTGTGACCTGCCATGCAGGCCTTTATGTTGGACGTCACGTGGGGACATACGCTCCAAGAGCACAGGAAGGGGTTGGTAAGCTCTGTGTTGCCTGAGAGTCGCCATGCGCTGTGTTGGTCGGTCCTCTGTGTGGGAAGTGTAGTTGCGTGGGTTTCCCTTGGGGACACCACCAGGTGGGCCCCACGTGCCAGGGGTGCGGGCAGGCCCTGCTGTTGCCCGCCATGTGCTCAGAGGTGTGTGCCCAGCTGGGGACCCAGAGCCCAGAGACAGATGTCGCTCGTCTTTGAGGTGGGAGCGGAGGCCTGTGGGAAGGGGTGGTGTGTGCACTGGTGGGAGGTGGGGGGCAGGGACAGCTCCTCCATCTTTAGTCACTCACCTGGTGACACACCCTTCCCGTCCAACCCGACCCAGCAGAGTCCTTCCTGCTCAGGGCGACTGTATGCTGACAAGGAAAGTTCTTTGGTGAGTCTTAGGAAGCGGCGGCACCGAAAAGTGGTATTTATTGTGACATAATAAAACCCTAATGGAGATAGAATTACCCAATAAAGGCCCCAAAAAGCCTGCGGGGCCTGAGTGCCACTGAGGCTTCGGGTACGGGCAGGGTGAGGTTGAGCGTGTTCGTGTGTGGCTGCACCAGCCTCCTCGCCCACTGTCCCCACCTCCAGCCCACCAGCCTGCTGGGGACAAGCAGATGACAAAGATCAGCATTGAAACAATAGCTTCACCCACCTCACCTTTCATCTGTGCCTTCCTCTGGCCAAGAGCAGCAGGAGGAAAAAAAAAAACAAAAAAAACATTGTACCCAACACTTATAAAGGGCTTACAAGCCAGGCCCTGCCCAGTTGGCTCTAGGACTTGACCTATACTGACCCCCTTAGTTCTCATGATAGCCCCACAAGGTGGGCACTGTGACTATCCCTATTTTGCAAAGGAGCAAAGCTAAAAGTTACAGCTGACATTCCAGCCCAGGCAACCAGGATCTGCAGCGCACACCCTCATGGGTACCTGTCTCATCCCCTGCTTCTGGAAGCTGAAATCCACAGACCCCGCCCCTTCCCCCTCTCTCGCCCAGAGTGAGGCACCAGCTAGAATAGTGCCCTGCACCCAGGAGTCACTCAGTAGATGCTCACATGTGATGGTGATATTCTTTTTTTTTTTTTTTACAGTTTTATTTTTAGCTAAACTCTTCACCCCACTTAGGGCTCGAACCCACAACCCTGAGATCTAGAATCTCCTGCTGTCTGAGCCAGCCAGGCGCCCCAGTGGTGACATTCTAAATCAGTTCCCTCCGTTTGTTTCAGTTTCCATCTCTTGAAGACCTTCTATGGGCCAAGCCGCCTTCACATAGAACTCATTCACCCTCCCAGCAGCCGTGGAAGGAAAAGCTAATTTGTGGCCATTTTTGTGGATGAAGATTGAGGCCCAGAGAGAACAGAGTTGTCTGAAGTTACAGCTAGGGATGCCTGGGTGGCTCAGTCGGTTAAGCATCTGTCTCTGACTCAGGTCCTAATCCCAGAGTCCCAGGATCAAGTCCTTCATCTGGCTCACAGAGAGCCTGCTTCTCCCTCTCCCTCTGCCCCCACCCTCAAATAAATAAAATCTTTTAAAATAATGAATAAAGTTACAGCAAGGCCTTGGCAGAGGTAGAACTAGGAAGGTTAAGTGTGTCTCATCCCAGAGCCCAGTCTCCCTACTCTTTCCTGAACACACCACGTGTTTTTGTCCATCTCTGCCACCCCCACTCGTTCTTTCAGACTTACCTCCGATGAGCCCGGGAGAAGGAACACGGGAGCCCCACGTGTAGGGGAGCGCCTGCTCCATAGTGTACACCCATCGAGGAGGACACAGTGGGCAAGCGAATGAATGGACGCTGGGTCCAGCGGACCTGGATTCTGCTCCAGCACTGCTGCTGGATTAAATGAGAGACATCAGGAGGGCTCTGGGCACGGAGCCTGGCGCGCAGGGAGTGTGCACTAAATCTCGGTCATTGGTTACCTTCCCCATCAGAAGTCGCTTCTGAATAGCGGCTGGGCTTCTGCGGGCCAGATAGGTTCACCCTGGAACAAACTTCAGCTCTCAGGTTATAACTACGCCCTCACCTGCCGCGCCCCCCACCTTTAGGCAGGGAGCTCCTGGAGGGACTGGAGCCCGGGATGCAGTAGGCGCTCAGTAAATGCTTGTGGGCTGCACACACATGCGAGCACCCGGAATCTTTTTTTTTTTTTTTTTTTTTCCCCCAAATAAACACAGTTGTTTTTAACCCAAACAACTGCAGCCGCAGTTGGACTCAGGTGAGGTTTTCCGGGTGAACGTGCCTGAGCAGAAGTTTTGCTGAGCTCCCCTCCCCCGATGGAACGGTTTGAGATTGGGGGAGGGGGTACTTAAATGTGTGCTCTGCATTTGGAGTGGAGGCGGACAGCGTGGGAGGAAGCGCCCCCCCCCCATAATTGCGGGGCTTCCCCCAATCCCAGCTTGGGTTAGAGGCTGTGCCGCTTCCTCTGGGGCTTGCTCAAGCTTCCTGGGACCCTTTGAAGTGGGTTCCCGGCAAATCCTGCCCTGGGGCCTGGATGCGGGGCGGAGTCTCGGGGACGGGGCGGGGCCTCAAGCTGGGCCCGCCGCCGCTGGAGGCTCGGGCGCCAGTGTTGCTGGGGGCC